CATAGGCATGTTTTAGGGTTTTAGGGTTTTACAAAGTACTGCATGGGTATGTTTAAGGGTTTTAGGGTTTTACAAAGTACTGCATGGGCATGTTTTAGGGTTTTACAAAGTACTGCATGGGTATGTTTTAGGGTTTTAGGGTTTTACAAAGTACTGCATGGGTATGTTTTAGGGTTTTACAAAGTACCGCATGGGCATGTTTTCTGTGCGAATGATGGACTATAAACAAACGTTTCACACGAATTGAACATGGCACCTGAAACTTGACATGTGACACGTGGCATGTCAGAGTCTTCGTTCCCTGGACGCGTTAATGTGCTGGTGTAGTTCGTACTTGTCCTTGAGTTCTTCATGTGATTGATATGTGCCCGAAGGTCCGTTCGTCGAAATCGCTAACCTTAGCTCAGTGTGTTGCTTCGTGTGTCTATTCCTGAAGTGCCCATGGGAATGTCTATTGTGATTGGGCTGTAGTGCTGACCTGTAGTCCGATTGGTTCGCTGGTGTTACTACGCAGAGGCTCACTCACATGAGCTGTCGTACATTGGCTAAGATCAATGTTTAAGACACTTTGTGTGTGTTTGTGTGTATGGTTGGTTGTAACCTTGCCCTGCCCATCCCTGACAATGACCCATCAGGAGAGAGAAGGAATCCTTTGGGTTAGAACATATGAAGCGAATGCAAAGTATATACCGCCAAGTCACCCAGATCAATCAATGGCTGAGGTATGTGAGTCCTGCACACCCGAGTCACACAGACGCGTGCATAGTAAAGGTCATACGGAGTGTGGGTGCCTACTGCTCTCTTCTCTCTATATGTCCCATAGACGCATGCATAATATAGATCATACGTAGTGTGGGTGCCTACTGCTCTCTTATCTCTATCTATTCCATAGACGCATGCATAGTATAGTATAGTATAGTAGTCGTCATACGGAGTGTGTGTGTATAGTATGGCAGTCGTAGTCATGGACATCATACGGAGTGTGTGTGCCTACTGCTCTCTTATCTCTATATGTTCCATAGACGCATGCATAGTATAGTATAGTATAGTATAGTAGTCATCATACGGTGTGTGTGTGTATAGTATGGCAGTCGTAGTCATGGACATCATACGGAGTGTGTGTGCCTACTGCTCTCTTATCTCTATATTTCCATAGACGCATGCATAGTATAGTATACTATAGTAGTCATCATACGGAGCGTGTGTGTATAGTATAGCAGTCATGGACATCATACGGAGTATGTGTGCCTAATGCCCAGCTGTCTTTAAACGTTTTAACGTCACACAGACCGCTCATTGGTGTCATAAAACGGTTAAAGGACCAATTCGGTGCAGAAGATAAAGAGCTGGGGCGCTACGTTGCCGATCTGGTATGTTTTGTTTTTCAGGTTTTGGGGGTTTCTTGTTCTATGTCACTATAGGGGGTCTTGAAGGCTGAAATGCGTTAAAAGGGGTTCTTAGGGTTTAGGATTTTAGCACCCGAATGACAACCACTACCTCCTGGTTCGCCTTCCTCGAGCGTGTAGGGGTGGGTCATACAGACCATATGAGAGGATGGTCTCAGCTTGAGTTCCTTCTCGTAGTTATAGCCTCTCGATAGTCTCACACGCGTGAATCCACTTCGTTTCATCGGCATTAATGTTAAAGGGAAATGTTTGAGCTCCTTCTCGTAGTGGCAGCCTCACACTCGTCTCGTGACTTCATTCCGTTTCGTTGGCGTTGGATCAGATGGAAAACGTGGAAACCACGCGTGAGCAAGTTAAGCAAATGGAGAAACAAGCCAAGTCACTCAACGACGACTTTGTCAACCAGCAACAGTACAGAATGAACAAGGTGCGCTCTCCGTTGCCCTTTCTTGTGTATGTGTGTGAGTAAACCATCAGCAGTGTAGGATGTGTGTCTGTGTATACTGGAGAAACAAGCCAAGTCTCTCAACGACGACTTTGTCAACCAGCAACAGTACAGAATGGACAAAGTGGGCTCTCCGTTGCCTTTCTTGTGTGTGTGCGTGTGTAAACCATCATACGTGTGTGTGTAATCCATCAGCAGTGTAGGATGTGTGTGTCTGTGTATAATGGAGAAACATCCAAGTCTCTGAACGACGACTT